TATATAAAGCCAGAGCCCACAGTTTCTTAGGCAAAACTCCCATTGCAGGATCACAGGTTCTGGCCCACAGGTTTGTCTTCTTCATAGTACTTTACAAGGACTGCAGTTTGACTATTAAAACTGTTTCTAGTAGGGGCTTGAGCTCCCAAGAAAGCTGTACATCCTTGGAAGGGATACAGGGAGAATGGAAAGCCTCTCCCTGCAAGCAGGGGTTTGCCGGTCTAATTGGTACTAGACCAGGCTTTGGGATGGGGACTATGTGAGAATGGAAGGGACTGGGTGTCTTCTTGTCCCCTTTCACAGTCTCTGTGTATCTGCTCTGGGTCAGCTGCACTCTGTCCCCTGACCTTTCTGAGGTGTGCAAGTAGCAGCTATTCTCAGTTTCCATTTTACAGTTGGGGAAGCCAGAACTAAATGAATTATTTCCTCCAGGATTGGTTGGGACTATCCACAAATACTGTACTTGATAGCTATTTGTTGTTCAGTCACCATAATTCATTAGTTCAATGTTGAAGTCAATTTCTACAAACTTTTTTCCCATAACTGATTTCATACCACCAATATGCCTATATGTGTACTGTCCAAAATAATCACAGTACATACCTGTTAAGGCTTAACTACTGAAACAGCGCTAGGTGAGAAAAAATTCTGATGGCTTGGCCTAATATATGGACCAAACCATGTGATCATGAACAGGCATTCAGGGCCAACATTTAATCTGCTTTGTTTCAAGTGGGAAATACGTGAAGATCAAATAAGTTCAAATCCAGGTCAAATATCCTTGAAAATCTTTGATTTATATAAGCAGGAAAATGAGGTTTAAAAGAAGTGATTATGAAAGGGTTACTAAAAACACAGCTGTACGTGTACTCTTATATCTGAGGCTCTCCAAAGAAAAACTGTGTGACATCTATATTAACCTTTGGCTGTACACCAGTGAAGGCCTGTAGTGAGCTGGAATGCAAGGCAGCCCCTTCCAAATTTTAACACAAGCCAGGTTACAGCTGCAAATGCCTGCAGCCCGTGCTCACTTTATAAAAGTATTCCCCGAAGGAAATTTTTTAACTGTTATAGAATCTTTTTCTAATACCCTACAGTGTTAAAGCCTGTTATTAAAGGGCAAAGCGATGGTTCGCTATGCCAAACACTTGTCAACAAAAAGGACATCCAGATGGTATGAAATAAAATAAAACTTGGGGGCTCTTCAGCTTCTTGATTTACATTAACAAAAGCCACTTTCATGTACTCTTTCCAAGAATGACTAATTTTCTATTTTTTTCCCTTCTCTTATTTTTTTCAAGGATTAAACAATTTTGTTCATTTTAAAATGAACTATGAAACAAATTAACTAATCGCACATCACTGGTACTGAGGCTTTTAAAAATATTCAAAGCAGGACTGTTTACCAAGTCAAGACTATGGACTTAGACAATCCAATTGTTTTTAGAAGAGAAGCTCTAAGTAATCTGGGGGATGGATGTTTACTCTCTAGTTTCTGTTTATGAACTTTAAACTTGTGCAGAAAACCTTTCTGTTCTTCAGAGGTTCCCTTTGGAAACTTTATTTAATCTGGACTGTACTGAAATCCAGATGAATTAAATTATAATGATAAATGTTATAAGCCTGGCCATTATTTAGATTCTACTTTCATTTGCACATAATACCATTCCTAACAGTCTCCTGCCTCATCTCTAGCAGCATTGGTGTTAATTTAGGACAGACTTCAACCCTTGAGTTAAATTAATCTAATTCTTTATCTTGTTAACTGTAAAGACATTCAAATAATGCTGCTTGCTCCATCCTTTTTGTGCTTTGTTTTTATTTCAAGCTACCCCTGGAATAAAACATATGTATTTTCATTCCTATTCACCAAGGTCCTTTATAAACTTTTTTAGCATATTCAGCTGTGTTCTAATTCCATAGGAGTCAATGAGCATTATTCTTTTTTTCAGAAGTTGTAATCTGGTATCAGACATAACTTTTTTATCCCAATAAAACCATTATGTTAGATGGATGAAAAGCTATGCACAAAGAGAAAAAGTATATCAGTAGACTACTGTTTGGATGGCTTCAGTAACATACCTTGTTTACTGAAGTTTAGATTTATTTAGGACTTCTTTACTTACATTTACTTCCCCCATTACCAAGCTGCATATTTTATTATGCTATGACACTTCCTCATTGTGCTGGTTCTAGTATGTAATAAAAGCCTACCTGAGAAATACAATGCCTGCAGAGTATCTCTTACAAAACACAGGACACAGTTTAATACAGACTGCATTTAGCAATTCAGTTCTGGTTTAAATGGGATCATTGTAGAAAACCTCCAAAAAAATATCAGTCCTACAATAGATCTTCTAATTTTCCCTGAATGTCATAGAAAACTGTACATACTAAAGCAGGTGTTGTGCTTAGTTATATATGTGAGCTAGTAGCTACTCTAATTCATTAAAAAGTCCATAAACAAGTAAGTCTTTGTCCTAAAAAGATGAAAGAACTATGACTATAATGGGATGAAAGGTGTGCACAGTGATGAAGAAAGCTATTATGGATCTATGTCCTTTTTAAACTCGTCCTGGCATGCACTGTTGACAGGGGAACAAAACAGTACAGATAAACCTCTGAAAAGTGCCTTGTTGGTAATAATTCCACCTGCCTATATAAAACCACTGGATCTTGCCTACGCTTTGACTAATGACTGACCATGCTGGCAGAAATTAAACTAAATAACAATGAAATACTTTGGAAAGAACATTTTTATACTTTTTAAAGTGATTATAAAAGCCAACATTTCTGTGCAGTTCATAATTTTGACGTTATACTGTAACCTGTGTAATTTATATATATATAATCTTTATTGATATGTTCTTTCATATTCATGGGATAGATGCATCCAAGAAAACAAATCTCAATTACAAATGTATTGACTAATTTCACTATGATCACACTTGGAGTTAACATGTTTGTGCAAAATAAGTTACTTTAGAGGCTAAACCATAATGTCTTTTACATAAAACTCCAGCACCCTTCAAAGATGGCTTTCCTCCACATTATTGAGCATGGAACTGATTCCCCAGAGCTGCATTTATGAGATCTACATTGAAACTAACTTCACAAAAACCAAAGGATATAATTGTTCACCTGGAGGTAAATCTCACTATCTGGAGTTGACTCTACTAAATGTTCAGCCCTTTCAAAAAGAATCTACTTTTACAGTAGAAACTAGAAGTGCCAACTTTGTTTATTTCCTTTGTTTCCGGTATGTCTCCGCACTGTGGCCATACATTATATGTACACTAAGGTACAGCACAGCGCAATATTAGCACCATTTCTCTTATCTCTAAAGTCAAATATTTGCCCACCAGTGGTACTCCTGAGTGCACCAATATTTGATTTTAAAATGTATCAATGTTAATTGGCTTACGTACTGAAAAAACATTAGACAAGCATTATACTTCCAAATGGACTATATTAGCAGTCTGAAAAGAATACAGCCTCTGGGCCAATTGTAGAGTCCTACCAGTGAGGCTTATGGTATTTAAAATGGAGATGCAATTCCACTGAAACTTGAGATCTCAGGATGCAGTGCTCCATCGCCAAGTATCACTTCAGGATTGGACTGAGGTTGGCTACTGTATATGATCACAGCTATTCACATATGTGTGTGTCATAAAGTCTATACAGCTACTGATACTTATCCTTTAGCCCATAGTGCTAGGGGAAGGACAACTATTGCACAACGCCTGTTGCCATCATGAAGCTCCAAGTGATAACCAGGAAGTTCTAGGTGATGGCAGATGTATTACAGGATTTAAGATGGGGGCATCTGCCATCTGTACCATTTCATGCATCTCAGGTGCATCCTTCTCACTCTTTGCAAATGGCCCCTCATTTAGGCAAAGTTTGAGTCAACACTGCTCTGGAATTATCATTCAGATTTTGACTTGAATTTGCAGGCACCCAATCTGTACATGTGGTGGTTTCAGAGCCACACGTGATGAGGGCTAAAACTAGATACAGTGAACTGGGACCTATAATTATATATTTAAAATAGAATGCTTGTCCTGACAGCATTTTACTCAAATCCGGCTGAGTAAGTCCAAAAGGGTGTGCAATCTATAGCCAACGAATAGAAATCAGGAGGATATCAGCAAACTGCGGCATCCAATTAAAGCAGCTCAGTGAGCTGCATACAAAGCGTGGCAACTTTCACATCATTTGCATAAACCCATCCACATGTGTGTGTGAAAGGAAGCACGTTAGCTTGCCTCAGCTGGGGTCACTAGAAAGAGCTGCAGGAGTAAATAAGGATTTGCCCTGGAATCCTTCTCAAGCCATTAAGAAAACAGACTCCAGCAGCTTGGCCCTCTCAATCTAGTTAAGGCTGCCTTGGCCACTCTACTGGGGTCTGTCCACTTAAGCGGCTCTGGTGGCATTGTGACCATCCACATGATTCCAAGCTCAGGGCTTCGAACTATGCTGCAATCCAGGGTCTTTTGTTGGCTTCACATCTTCCTTGGTGGTGCAAGAACCAGACAGAGCCACTGTAGAGGTCCTGTACAGGTCCACTCCCTCATTCACTGTGGAGGAGCAAGAGGGAAGAAGAAGGAGGGAGCATGGGAGCAGGCCGGATGAGATCTGATGGGGCACAGTAAAAGTCCTACTCATAGGACATAGGTTCGGAGCGCTTTCCAGCTGATTTCCAAACCTCCTGACACTTAAATTCACACTGCAAGAAAGGCCGGATCTAGAGCCACTTCCTTCCCCTGCCCTGCTCAAAGCCACCTGCCAGCAGGGTCATATGCGCCCCTTGCTGCTACCTGCCCCACCACAGCACATTCTCTCCTGTCCTCACCAGAGGCTCTGGTGCCATTGGGTCCATCTCTTCGCTTTTGCCAGCAGAGAAACCAGCTTCCTTCCACCCCATCCCACTCCAGACACTTTGCCCCAGGCTGTCCCAGCCCTGTGCAGGCTGCCCCGGGCTGGGCTCGGACACTCACCCAGGTTCACGAAGCTCATGACCATGTCTGCCTCGGTGAGGAAGTTGCTGTCCTGCAGGCTGGCCAGGGGGGGGCCCTGGGTGCTGAAGATGGGCTTGTAAGGGTAGGAGAAGCCCTCTCCCTCCTCCCCCGCCGCCCCCGCCGCCTCCTCCACCGACATGGCATTGTAGAGATCCAGCATGAACATGGGGGCTGAGTTCTGCTTGCCGTGCAGATGGGGCCGGGGCCGGTGCGGCAAGCCCAGGATGGAGAGGATCTCCCGCTGCATCTCCCGGCGCTCCTGGCTCCGCAGCCGCCGGTGGATGAAGCTGGAGTGCACCTCATTGTCCAAGGTGAAGTCCGCCAGGATGCAGCGCAGCCACAAGCAGGAGAGGACCAGCAGCCGGGAGGCAGGCTGCCCGGGCCACGCGGCGCGCATCTCTCCTGCACGGAGGGGAGATGAAGAGATCCACGGGGCTGCTGAGCAGGAATAAATACTTTACCATGAAAGACAGCTGGAGAGGGGGAAAGTGCCTGCCCCGCAAAGCTCTGATCACTTGGCTAGAGGGCAGCCCTGCAGCTCAGGCTTCAGCAAACTCATGATAAAAGTTTGCCTCTGGGGGGGGGAGGTGGTTTAGTTTGTAAAATCCATGAGATAAATAGCAAAGATCACTCCTGAGTGGTGCTTTCCACTCCCTTTCCCCTCTTCCTTTAGGGTCTGATTTCTCTCTCTCTCTCTCCCTCTTCACTTCTCACAAGTGCCTGAAATGCTGCTTTACAGACAGGCAGCAGGAGGTTGTATCTGGTGGGAGGAGCAGGCAGCACAACTCAACACCCTCCCTCGCTTGCTCTCTGCTCGCTCTCTCTCTCTAAACTGCTTAGAGAAGAAAATCCGTGTTACTGCCTAGAGGAGGAACATCTGATCAGGTTGCTTTTCAGGATGTTTATGGAGGCTTCTGGCTTAGAAGAAAGGGTGAGCCATTCCCAAGTAGTTAAATTAATGTAAACATGATTAAGGGGAAGGCAGTGCTGAAGGAGGGCTGTTTTGTGGAGGGGAGGGGGGGCATGCAAGTATAAAACAAAATAAACTAAGTGCAGTGGGGCAGAGCCTGCCCAGAAGGCAAAAGACCAATACATGCATGCATTTAAAATGCAATGATACCGGTAGGAAAGGTAGCCCAAGGTCGCTTGTACCCACAGGCGGTCGGAGGGATGTGAGTGGAGAAGTGTTAAAGAAGGCCAGGCGGTTATGGGTTAATAGGTGAAAGTTTAAAACAATACAGGATACTAGTGACATGGCCCCGGACCCATCAGCTTGTGCGCACAGCTAGTGGTTGTCACAGTCTCTCTCCCTCTCATCTCCTCCCCTCTATTTTTCTTCCGTTCTTAGCTACACTCACTTGTTGCATCTTGTCTAGGATGGGGTTATCAGCCCTTTGGAGCAGAGGCTGTCTCTTACTAAGTGTCCCTACAATGTCTGGAAGAATAGAGCCCAATCCTGGCTGAGCCCTGCCAGCTCTGCCATAACACAAAGGAGAAATAAATGACAGCATTCAGCAGTAATCTCTTGAAAGGAAAGGACCGGAAATAATTCAGACTATATGTTGATTTTTTGATTCAGCCCTGGTGGGAAGAGAGAAAGGAGAGGAGGGAAAAGAGGTTGTTTCCATTGCCTTGACACGCTCATAGCCTCTGATGCTTCCTGATGAGCCTGCCCAGAAGTCTGAACACCTGGTCCCACCTGCCTTCTGGACCCAGAAACGAATAGTTATTCATTTGTATTTATTTATTCAGTTTATACAATGCCAATTTATATGCTGCCCTTCCTGACAAAGGCTCAGGCTGGCTACAATAAAAGAACACTCCGCATTTATACAGACCGGTTGTGCAAACAGCAAGTAGCTTGTTGTAAGAGCCCAGTGAAGGAGGCACTCTGCTTTTTAACAGAGGAGAAAGTGAGAGAACTGGAGGGGTCCATCTTTAGACCACAGTAAGAAAGGGGGAGAGTCAGTTAGGAGCCTAGCTGCCAGCCCCTTCTTCATTCTTCTGCTGCTTTTCAAAGGGGTGGCAAGAACCTTTTATAGCTCTGGAGAAGCACCACCAGCCTGCCTGGGGGGCAGGAGAGCAGGAGAAGGACCAGAGGTGTTAGATGATTTACCCAGTCATCTCTTGCTGGCTCCCCATACAAACAGGAGCCATGATTTAAGGCTTCAGGTGTGTGTGTTGGAAGACCCTTGTTCAATTCCCTGCTCTGCCACCAATCCCTTATGTGACCTTAGCCTATCATTTAGCCTTTCTGTGCTTCCCTTCTCTGTCCTAAAATGGGAATACTAGTATTTCCCTGGCTCATAGACTGGGAAGGCTACATATATTTAAGTATTGTGAGTCACTCAGGTACTATGGTGATGCTATCCATAGAAGTGTCTAAGATAGTGGTAATATAGATATACCACCATAGTATCCAGAAGGGCCCTTCTAGAGTCCCTTCACATGAATTAGCTGGGATTGCAACTGCATACAATAATACAGTACCAGCTTATTTTGTGTATCATCATTTGTACAAACCCTGGATTTGTTCCTAAGTGGTAATGCCAAAACATTGCTAAGAATTGTGGCCTTCCTGTTTGAAAACACATAACTGGCATGGATTTCCACACAAAAAGGGTGTTTTGTTTCCTCGGTGCATTTGACAGTGACTTGGGCCTAGTCTCTCCCCTCTGGTCCATTCCTCCGGCTGTTTCCTTGTGTGCAGGCCTTTCACCCAACAAACCAGGGAGAAACATATTGAAATTAAAATACTATACAATAAAAATTATAGAAATGGACAAGGAGCCTTAAGAGCAGGTATATTTCCAGAAACCATATATAGGGCAATTTTCAAGTTAACAATGTCCCCTTAAAAAGCACTGCTTGTTTGGGGGAAAGAGAAGATATGCAGTTCTTCTGAACTGGGAGATTTGGGCTCTGCAAAAATCTTCAGGTGGCTGATTTCTGGGATTGATTGTGTCATTTTTTATGGGAGACAAATTTTGAGACTTCTTGGTTTGGCAGGTTCTTCTGGTTCTAGTTATGATTCTTCATTCCCTACTTAACTTCCCCCTAGCTTCAGTTGGTTAAGTTGCCTTGGGGGGTGGGAGGGTTAAGATCAAGCAGCGTATCAGCTTAATCTTGTCCTTTCCCCAGGTGTAGTGAGTGACAGGGCTGTCTCTCACACTTGAATGGAAATGGATCCAATTTTTTAATAATCTTTTTCATTGCTGTTTTGTATGGCTTTATTCTTTACTTCCTGGCCTAAACTGTGGACCAACATACCTGGTTTGACAGAGGCTCAGAATCAAATAGAGAGAGGATATTGTGGGATCTGGCATAAGCAATAAACTTTTTATGAAAGGGGATTATTATAAGTATCAGAGAACCAAACTTTTTCTTTGAAGCTGCTGCAGGTAATTTCTCCACACACTGTTCTACAAAAATGTCTGGCTTGTGATTGTTGAGACAGACTGCTAAGTATAATCTGCTGAAATAGATACATGACAGATATGCCTAAGAGTGAGTTGGCCACTCTTATATACCAGGTGCCAGAGGCATTCTTTGTGAGTGAGGGTTGAGAAGAGCAAAAAAACACTCTTGAAAACCACTCTTAGAGCAGTAGTTTTCAACCTTTTTTTGTTTGCAGACCCCTAAAAACATGTAATGGCAGTGCAGACTGCTTTGAATGATAAGTGTGGGTATTCACACATTTCTGATTGATCATAGTCATCTTTCCTGGACCCCTGGGGTCCGTGAAACACAGGTTGAAAACCACTGTCTTAGAGAATTGATTTCTCAATTACATGTTGACTTTGGTGAGGCTGCTGGGTGCAACCAAGAGCAGAGTATGTCCCACTGTGTACAATATAGCATGATGGAGTATAGAGTGGTCAACATTTAGCTGCGAACATGGATTTTACACACACATGCTGCAATTAGAGGATATTGTCTATGCCATAATTTCTGATTATAATGTTTCTTCCATCATATTTTGCATACTGCTTGAGCTCACTTATTGGTGCTCTCAGGGTCAGCTCCCAAGTACTGTAGACAAATTACTGAAAATATTGGCAATCCCATGTCATCACCCTCTTTCTCTTCTCTCCCAGGTCAATTAAGAAACCAGTTTTTCCTCTTAACTGCCATCCGCTCCTTCTCCTCCTCCTCCTCCTCCTCCTCCTGCTCCTTGTCAGAGAAGAAGAGCTGAGTGCTGATGATGAAGCAATACCTGGATGTTGGCAGTAGCTGTTTCAGATGATTTCTTTAAAAAAATAACAGAGTGCTTCTATTTTCATCTTTTGGGTATCTTAGTATTTTGCATGTGTATGATTTGTCTAGTAGCTATTATTTGTGCTTATGTAGAAATACATGCACTGTTGCTGGATGGAAGTGAGTAGTTTAGAAATAAAGGGTCCACTTCTAAAACAAATAAAGTACACACAATTTGTGTGCAATTGCATGTGCCTAATTTGTATGCATTGTTGTCATGGTCATGCATCCAAATTGCCAGATGCATACCAATGGCTCATTCAGGTTGTCAGTATGCAAGACTACCCTAAATGAAGTAAATGTACGTTCAGGTTACACAAATAGTTTCATGCTTAACTTAAAGATTGGACCCAAAGCAATTGCATCCAGGTCTTCCTTCTTTTATTCTGAATAACGTTAAAGCTATTTATTCTTCTTCCTCCTAATTGTTACCTTTGTGTCTTTTATACTTTCTCTTTTCACGCCTATCTGATGTGTACAACCAATCCCTCAGAGCATCCTTCCTTTGTCTCTCCAAGGGCTGCACTAAAATGCATGGATCTGGGGAATCTTTTCAGTGATGACTGCATGATCAGCATCTTCTGCATGCCATCTAATCTGGATTTGGTGGGACCCTCCCCATGTGTGACTCTCATCTAAAGAAAAGCCTTATTTTTATAAGATTATACAAACAACTTGCATATTGTATTATGTCATATTGGATTATACTTCTCAAAGTTTCTATTCACTCTCCTTAACAGCATTGTCGTAAATGCATTCGTCAATGTGAAAATAATCACATTATGGATAAGCCAAAAGTTAGCACTGTTCCAAGAATTTGAACTGATCTGGATTGGACTTTGCTAAGTATATTATAAAAATTAAACAATGGCTCTCATTGCCCTGGCCTCTTCTAGTCAGAGAAGAAACAGTGATAGAAGTTGTACATTCAGACTTGAAAAATGAATCTACTACTATTGGAAAACTGAATAATAATTGTTAGCAAGAAATTATTTTTAATGATTCAGAAGTGGTAACTTCTGAATTCCAAAACTAAAACAGTTCTTCAGGAGAAAATCCTAAGTGGTGCAAACTGCATTCATAAAACAAGCAGAATTTAGTCATAAATTTATAAGGCTGGGATAGAAGTTCACAAAATCACTATCAAGTTTTTATAAGAAAGTAATTGCAGTTGCTCTAATAAATTAACAAAAATGTTTTTCTTTTTTTTTCAAAAGAACTTATCGTGCAAGTACTTAGAGGCCCAGACTTGCCAAAGTAACTCCTACCATTTCATCTATAATTTTGCAGTCTCAGAAGATTATGTATACACTCTTTTGGCTATATTTTTGCAACAATGGCAAAAATGTGATGTTATGTGCAAAAAAACAGTCTCTGCATCCAAAACTTGAGTCTCACACTTGCTAAAAAAATGTGCAGGCATTGCTTTCATGCAGCAGATTG